GTTGTCTAATGATTTAACATCACGAAACCTTGTCTATTTTATTGTAAACCAGAACGTAAGTATGCGCAACATATATATAGGTCAATCAATTTAAAAACAAATATCAATAGTATTGTACAAAAGAGTAATATGGAGTTTCTAGTCTTTTAAACTACTATAGGCTTATATGTCGTCCTGTGACTTTCCTTGCCAACGTTAACTGGAAGAAATATTGGAATTGGCGTCAATACCAATTAAGACTGCCCATTAATATAAGCTATTGCTGTGGGGAATGCCTTGAGCGCACGCTACAGTCCCTATTCCATTCACGAATGAATATATCCATTCATTCAGTCGTTCAAAGACGTGAGTCTGATGTCATTCCCTTAAAAAATACGATGACAATTGTTGTTATTTTATTACAGTTTAATTTTAACCGAGTGTTCATCCTTTTCTAATTACGAAACGGAATTTATATGGACTGATGGATGGAGTAATATGGCAGAGTTTGTCTAAACAAAAAGATTCATCTTCCTCCTTAGTGGAAACAAAATTTAAAATTTAAAACTTTCCAGAAGTTATGACTCTTCTGTATGCATACATATAACACATACATATAATACACATACATTCAATGTAGGCGTGTATTATATGTATGTCCTCCCATGTCGTGTAAAATATAAAATTTCGTTGAAGGTACCATGCAAACACCTTCATAAATCACACTTTAAAAACCAAAATATTTCAGTAACTCTTTCAAATACTCAGTAGTGTCTGTTTGAAACGAGACAACGATTCAAAGAGACACCACTGAAGAGATTCACACGCAGACATCTACAAACAAAGGATATCAATTGAACCGTGGTTTTTTTTTAATGTGAAAAGTTGCCAAACGAGCAGACGGTTCACCTGATGGTAAGTGAATACCGCCGCCCATGGACATATGCTACACCCGAGGGCTACAGATGCGTTGACAACCTTTTGAAAATTGGGCTCCGGCTACCTTTATCACCAAACCAGACGCGAAAATATTTGTTATACTTCCACTTTACGCTGGTCTTCTGTGAGGTCGTGGTACTTACCCGAACGGGCCCGCCCATTCGTGCAACAGCCGAGACTGCTGCGTGACCCTACCACCGTAGTAGGAATAAATTCAATTTTCAATTACTTTGCAAAACAGAACTTTCTTATCTTAACCAAAATCAAAAAGACGACGCAGAGATCCACTTAGTACCAATGAAGAACCGTTACATAGATTACTAGGCTACGGCAACATTAACATGTTAGCAAATCTCATGGCGTATGACCATATAATTAAGATTTATTTATTCGAACTGAAAGCTAAAAAACATAAAGAATGTAGTTAGAATATTATGATTTAATACTGCTAGGGAATTTTATATAAAAAAACTTTATTAAAATTATTTAACTAGTGAAATATATGTATATACGTTACAATTCTTTATAAAAAGGCGAACGAAATTATAGATAAGATTTCAGATATGTAAAAATACTCTTTGATAGATAATAAACAAAACAATAATGTTTCTTTATAGATCTCTGCGGGAATGCGGGGGCATATACAATAATAAGGTGTAATTAGGCTATTAAAGCCTTCATAATGTTGGAGTAAACAAAAACGGTTAATTTGACTTTTAATTTTCCGCTTTCTCTAATTACAAAGGTTTACAAATTGTCTTCCAACTAATAATGGATTAGACACTGCTGTTTATAATTTTTGATTGATTTTTCCGATATATTCCTCCAATAACGTTAATTGTAGAAGAGATATTTAACGGACAATTTTTACGCGGGCGAACTGAAATCCTAAATAATTATCTGTGTGTCTCAGAAATGCTAATTCCGTGCCCGATCGAATAAATGAATCGCGAGGTCAAAAGGTCAACGGACTCGTTCTTGTTTTGCGAGCTTCTGACGGCTAGGAATACGATTTTTTATTATTTAGGTACCGCACCTCCCGCTCAACCTGCGGAAATTTAATATACAAACCGTGAAAAATTGTCTTTGTCAAAATGTCTGATCGTTTTCAATCAGTTAATCTAAAACCGCCACCTACTTTTTTAAAAATCTCCCAAACAATTATCTGTGTGTCTCAGAAATACTAATTCCGTGCCCGATCGAATAAATGAATCGCGAGGTCAAAAGGTCAACGGACTCTTTGTTCCCAAGGTCATTCTGCTCTGAATTTTCACTGCGGTAGGCCTTGCAACTAACAACTCGCTGCCATCGCAGTGTAGGACGACCCGCCATTAGATGGAGTGACGACCTGTGCAAATGTGCGGGAAGTCGATGGATGCAGGTGGCTCAGGATCGTACTTCATGGCGGTCTATGGGGGAGGCCTATGTTCAGCAGTGGACTGAAACAGGCTGAAATGATGAGGCCTTGCAACAGTTTCTGATGTTGTCCGGTGGGCAGACTCGTCCGAGAAAGTAGCACGGTCTCACGGAACATCGGCGTGAGGCGGAAGTATTACACTTTTGCGCCTCGTCTGGTGAGCGTGGCACTCGGGGCCTACTTTCCAGAGCTAATCTGCAAAAACACTCAGGCGCTTTAGATATCCGAGGATAAACGGTTAAAATCAGATGAACCACCTCGCTCGCTTGGAAAAGTTGCCAAAAAAACTTAGAAAGGTTAGAAATAAAAATTTCAAGGTTTAATCAAAATTCGGTAAATAATTCCATCAATGATAAATTACGATTTTCTCAAAAGATTGACGAACTGATCAAATGATTTCTTCAATGGTCTTTCACGACACCAGAAATGTTGCAAACGTTTTTTTTTTTTTTTTTTTCAAACATTGCGAGCCTCCGGTTATCCCAGCAGACAAAAAGCGAAACTTTAAAATTTCATCCCAAATTTTCTAACGTCGAACGGGGAAGTATCGCTTTTTTTTTATGTGAAAAATTGCCAAACGAGCAGACGGTTCACCTGATGTTCAGTGAATACCGCCGCCCATGGACATCTGCTACACCCGAGGGTCTGCAGATGCGTTGACAACCTTTTTGGAAAATTGGGCTCCAGCCACCTCAATCACCAGACGAAACGCAAAAGTATTTAAATTATACTTCCACTTTACGCCGGTCTTCTATGAGGTCGTGGTACTTACCCGGATGAGCCTGCCCATTCGTGCAACAGCCGAGGCTGCTGCGTGGCTCTACCACCGTGAAAACTACTTCCCCGTTCGACCTGGTACATACATGCAACATCAGAAACTATTGCGTGGTCCGTGTTACACTTTCGAGTTTTGTTTGAGGGGTGGGGTAAGCAGGACCCACTGTTTGCATATACAATCCTCAGGAGTCGTAGATCTCCATGAGCGTCAGTTCACTCGCCAATTTTTCACATAAATAACTGTTTTTTTATGTAACAAGGTACCAAGCGAGCACCTGATGCCGCCCATGGACATTTGCAACACCGGTATAATTGCGTTGCCACTTTTTAATGATATGGGCACCGGTTACTTCACCCATCAGACGAAACACAGGACCCGCAGAAACCCTAAAACAGTTGAAGCATTAGCAGTATGTAAGCTGTTGTTCCCCTACCACAGTAATGTAATTTATATGGAAAATACACAAAAAAGTTATTTATTTAAAACGTACACAATGCGACTAGTTAATGGAACATTGTTCCACGGGATGATATAGCATGAATGCGAACAGTAATGGCCGTGACTTTTGAAACATCGCGCCTGAAGTGGAACCGGTATTTCCTATTAGCTTCACTGTCAGCTAATTACGTGAATACGTCACTGACAGAGTACTTACGTATTAAATTCGTTCGTTTTTTTTACGGAATATGTCATGAAAATGTAATTTTGACTTAAACTTTTTAAGTCAAAACACAAATTTATCAAATAGTAAACTATTACTTTGAAACGGCAAGTTATCTAACCAACAGGTTAGATAACTTTAAGACACTTTTTTGTATACAATAGTAAAAAGAAAGTCATTGACAATAAATTCCGCTGTCTAAAGACATGGTCAGGTTTCAGGTAGTAGCCACCATCGTTGGTCCAGGTCTGTTGGTGGTGACTATATCCAAATAAACAGCGAGTAAAAACTCTAGATGTATAGACGATATAAACGAGGTTGCGGTTGGAATGAGTATGGTATTGTTCCAGGGAGAGGCTTATGTCCAACTTTGGACTACCGTAGACTAGTAATGAAGATGATGATGATGCTTAAATAAGGCGTTTAAATACTTGTAAAGGGCTGACAGAAGCTTGCTTCAAAACGGAAATTCCATCTCGTTTTGATTTAGCTCAACGATAATTATATGTTCTTATTATTCTTATAGTATAAACATTAAACTGATAGTGTCGTTTTGCGTATTCGTGTAAAGATAACAAGTTCAAAGTTTTTATGTATTGTTTTGTCTCAGTAATCGTTTTACGTTTACACTTTGTATATAAATTCATCAAATCTATCACCAGACAACCTCTTAAATTGTATCGTTTTATAATATATAATAAAAAAACAAACATGAGTGCTAGCACTGACTATGATGGCATGTCCAGATTTAGGAATAATGACAAATGACCCCTTTTTATTTGAAAGCTAGTCAAGCGAGCAGGCGGTTCACCTAATGTTAAATGAATACCCATGGACATCTACCCGATGGCCTGCTATACAATTTTCTCAATGTATAAAAATAAAATATGCAAATTGGCAGAAATGTAACTCTTAGACTAATACTATTACCAGCAGAGAATCCAGATGCTTCGAACGAAAAAGGTATAGCAAGGTAAGGTAGAACAAATTAGGTATTTGTCTAAGTATGATAAATAGTTAAGAAGTTACGAGGGAACAGAAGAACATACATACATAACCATGTACAAATATACATATTTTTGCTTCAATCACTAATGATTGTAGTCGTATATTGTAGCTTTGTCTTATTACATAAATATGAATGAATAATATCAACGGAAACTTGACGACTACGACATCACATAATTATTAACTGCACAATTTTGACTTAATTTCTTCTGGTTCAGGATGGCAAACTGTTCGTCGAGCTGCCCAACAACATTCCGCCGTGGAATGTTCTCGACTCCGACAAATACTGCATCGATACGTTCTTTTACGAAGGCGAAGATGGGAAAACACAGACCCGTATGGACGCCCTAGCGTGTTTCGTAGACGAGACCCCACCCAACCACTTCAAAGTCCGTAGCGCATGTAAGGCCTTTCTGAATTATTTTATACAAAAACTAAACGTTTCGTTACTAACTACCTAACGTACCTAACTAACTAATCGTTATTATTATACAACACATCTGGAGCGTAGTTTACACCATAATCATCATGATTATAAAGGTAAAATAAAATCATAAGCGTAATTTGTCGGATCTTTAGTGTTCAGACTGCAGCGATCTCTACCTATTGTTAAAGATGAAGATGAAAGATTATGAGTGTTCATTTATAAATCACCTTTATATTATAGCTTTATAACAAATATTTTGTTCAGATTTTCTTCAAAATGCTTTCCCCGATTAAGGTCCAACTATTAGTCAATAATATCATTGGCGTCAGCTGAGTAAACACTGCAAATGGCGTTCTCGATAAAACGTCATAGCATGGGTTGCCAAATAAACATTATTAATCTGTGACAATTTTTAAATCATAACAGACAAATCTTATGAGACAACATTCACTTTCTGTATCAATATAAATTATGTTTTAAGTCTCTTGAATTTTCTTTATTTATCATTAACTGAGGAATTACTTACCCCAAACCCGCCTTTATAGTAACGTAGATATTGCTTGTAGACCTTGCCTCCTTGATATACAGCTATAAAGGCATATTATAGTATGCTTATTTATTCATTTAATGTCTAAACAACTATATTTACTTAAAATTTACATAACTTATTTGATTAATTAGGCTTATTTCAGTTAAAGTTTCACATACACTTTGAACATTACGTTAAACTACTTTTCAGGCATGCTGACCTCCTGCGTCTTCATTCTGATAACGGTGATGGTGTATGCTTGGCTGCCGGAGCTGCGGAATATGCACGGCAGGGTGCTTATGGCGTACCTCTTGTGCCTTTTCCTCGGCTTCTTGTGCATGTCGAGCATGCAGATCATGCTCACGGTCGACAACATCACGAAGTCTATCTGCGTCGTTCTAAGTAAGTTCTTCTTAACAACAACGGAGGGGTTTACAAGTATAATCTTCAATTCTTTTTAACAACAACGTTCAAACAAGGGTTTATAAGTATAATCCTCGATTAAACTACGATTATTTGTTCGTGTTTATGTTTGCTCTTGAGCAGCATACTGATCATGCTCATGGTTGAAAACGTCACACCACGTTGAAAGCGATGTTTATTTTTCATTATTTTTTTATATTTTACATGTTGCCAATATTTGTGCAAAAACAAATAGTAGGACAAAACACACATTGTAAGTCTTTTAATTTTTTTATTTGCCTATTATGAAAGTGTAAGAAAAAATACTTTCAGCCATGTGTATTTATGGCTGATTCGGTTTGTTTCCGTCTTAAATTCTGTCCACAACATCAAACAGTCAAGACGACACAACATCGTTAATTATGACGCAAGCAATTAATATTTAATAACATTAACGTTTAAAAACAAATTTAGGTCGAAACAAATGTGACTTGTGTCCCAATTCACATGTGGTGTATTTATGTAGATTGTTTTCTGTCTTTGTCAAAAGATTTAAAAACCTTCGATAGTAGTAAAAATATTTCTTAGTCTGATGAGAGCCTAGTAAAACAACTCTATGAAAATCTATCCTGCTTCAAAGGAATGACAATCCGTCCACCAGTTCAATAAATTAAAATATGTAGTCGCGCCACTTCTATTCTGTGGGTAAAAACAGAACAAAACACATGTACGCTCTCTGTATCAATCGCTTGGAATTCTAATCGCGCAGTATTACTTTGAAGTAGCCATAAAGTTTTATGGTATAATATTTTTCACTGCACAGTATTTTCTGTAATAACTATCCAGATCAGCAACTACAAACAGAAAATAGCTTTCATTCTTGCATACATAACAATAGAAGCTTTGCTGAATGTATATACATGTTTATAATTATTGAAGGAATATTAATTGGCTTTAACTATTTAATTTTTATTCTTCACATACTCGAATATCTACAACTTTCTCTATCGTTTTACCGATTCTTCCTTCAAAGAATGGATGGACTGTCCTGGAATGCTGGAATGAAATCAAATTTAATAAATTAAATTAATAACTTCAATACTCCTTCGGTCAGTAAAAAACACGATATGCTTTCAAAGACAGGCAAGCTACAAAATGGTTTGGATTTCATTGAAATAATTTTGATATTTTGAAAATAAAACTACATAATTTTTGACAACACGCAATCATTTTATGTTTTTCATCACATTTCTACAAAACCTTTCGCTAGATTTTATACGCGAATATAAAATAGAACCTTAGAATCAATGCAAAAACGAAAGATAAATCAATCTATAAATCTATCTGAAAAAGAGAGCAAACTTCGGCTGTCTGAATGTATTGATCAGATTGAGGCTATTGAGTCATCGATTCAACTAAATATTTTGGTAGCAAGTTTTCAACACCTTCATCTGGTATAAGTGTAGCCGCTGACGTAAATATTGTATTACTTTTACTTCTACTACTACTTTAAAGAGCAAAGGACGTTGATGCCACTCCAAGTATGTACTTATGTAGTTATTTACGCTCAATATTTTCAATATGACTGTGTGCGACGTCTGGAAGAACTGATTACTTTAACTTATTACACTAATGGTATCATTGTGAGTTTTTTTTTTTCAAAATTAATCGAACTTCAATTTAAACCATGAAGACGGTCATGAATGTTATAAAATTATTCGATTAACACTCTTCCAAAATGAATAGAAAAATCTGTAGAACTTGCGGTACTTGGACTTTTTCGGATTCAGTACGAAATGCCATCTAAATAGAAACTACAAAATTCCGTTTTTTTTATCTTTTCAGCGTTTATCATTTACTTCGCTCTCGAGTCCGCCTTCTTCTGGCTGAATGTGATGAGTTTCGATATATGGTGGACGTTCAGGTACAAGTTTGTATAACAGTTAACTAAGAAACTTTAAATGAATCTATGGCTAAAATGTTTGGTGACGTACACCAACTACTTTTTTTTCAAGTAGTTGTATGTATCATAACCAATATCTGCTATTTTGGCACAGCAACAAGCTGACTCGTTGCTCCTAATAATGATGACGATGATGACAACCCATAGCTCTAAAGTAAATTAAAGTAACGAACTATGTGTCCCACTGTACACAAGGGACACAAACAGTTCACTTTCCCCAGCAAAAGCTTCCTGTGTACAGTACTATTGATATATGATAAATATTTAAATAAATGAGGGTATTGTATATTTACGTTTCGCCTTGTGAGTGAGGTAATCAGGGCCTATTTCTTTAACGCTTTGACAGGTACTGTATTTTTATTGACAGCAATCATGACAAAATAGTAATAAAACGATTGGAATGTTCTAAACAAATCCAGGAGGGATAAGAGCAGGATAAGATATTTTTGATTTATTTATTAACCGAGCAAGCGATGTAAAGATGAGTAAAGTGAACGCAATCCATGTACACTCAAAAAGTGACACTTAAGAACTTGTAAGCGTGTTTTCAACAATTTATAAAGTGGGGCTACTGTTACCTCACTCTCGGGAGATAACTATATTACATTGGTTACAATACGACGTACTACTTACTTTATCGAACCGGCCTATTAATGTGGCAGGAGAATGTTATAAAAATACTTAGAAATATGTAACATTTAATAATATGTAAGTTTGAGAGTATTTTATCTTTCTTATATGTTACATTTTAATTTCAGCGGGAAAGGAGGAATGGGGTTAACCAAAGTATCTAAAAGATTTTATGCATACTCTTTATATGCATTCGGTGTCCCGACGTTACTTACCGTACTACTCATCAGTCTGGAGTTTTCTGGTTTAAGACCGCACCCATTCCTACCCAGGATTCAGGACCAAGGTTGCTTCCTGTTTGGTACGTTTTTTTCAATAAACGATTTACCCGAAATAGCAAACATTATTTTTACCCTTGTTTTTAAATTATACAAAAGTATTTATTTTAATTTTTAACAAAAAAAATAAAATATCTGGAAACTATATTATTTATTCATTTGCTCGAACTCGTAGAACACGAACTTGTGGTATGGGAAATTAAAATTAAACAATCTGATTAGATCCGTTTCAATGTTACAGGAAGAAGTAAACTGTTATATTTGTATGGTCCGATGCTAATCTTGTGTCTGGCGAACATTGTGTTCTTCATAATGACCGCGGTGAAGATAGCACAAATTAAGCAACAGACGGCTATGCTTAAGTCCAAGGAAAGCGCTATGCATGATCAGCATAGAAAGGATAAGCAGCGGTAAGTCATTATAAACTTAATCTCTAACAAAAAAACTATATAACGTTTGATACAAAATTCATCAGTCAACATTAAAATTTTAAAGTCGTCATCATTCATCAACAGGCTGACCTCTTTGAGTCCACTGCGGAATATAGTTCTCCCCCCACAGACTTTCACGAAGCACGATCCTGAGCCCCCTGCATCCATCGACTTCCCGCACACTTGCACAGGTCACATCTTATCGTCTCTTTAGGAAACTTATACGTATATGGGCAATGAATTTTTAGCAGCAATCGTCGAATAATTTGATTGATTAAATCAATCAAATTGTCATTTAATTCATATTCATCAAGAGAATATGATCACACAGTAATGGCTTTTCTTTTTAGGAACTTGATTTAAAACGCCTTTAACTTTATATTAGTTATGCCTCTCTATTTTGTCTTGTACCATGGTAACCAGATCGACCATCGTTTATGGCAATGTCATTTCTATTCACAAGTAGGAAATTCATTTATTTAACTTTTTTTTACACTCCTGTAACATCCGATTCTACCATTTACTTGAGGAAACTTTTCTACCGACTCCCTAGTTCTTATTAAATAATTCATTTTTGTTTGCAAGATACATATTTGCAATAACATATTTTAATTCTTACTGAAAACTATTTCTCACTGCTACTTATAGAAGAAGGTTCTATAAGATGATACAAAAACTATTGAAACTCAAAAGACACGATTTAATTCGTCTCTTAAAATGATAAAAGACCAATTGGAGCCAAGTCACTATCACTATTGTACCTTTTTTGTAAATAAATAAATAAATTTCTACACAATTATCAATCTGAGTGTATAGAAAATTTCTCGTCGAATAATTAGTCTAATAGTAACAAAGGACTTTTACCATTCATTCCAGGCTACTCTTGTATTTGAAACTGTTCACTGTGATGGGCATCAACTGGATTCTGGAGGTGATAAGCGCCCTCTACCCGGAAGCGGAGTACATCTGGAACTTCACGGACGCATACAACGTACTTATTGGCGTCACTATTTTCATCATCTTCGTCTGTAAGCGGAAGATATATCGTCTAATCAAGAAGAGGTTTGTTACAGAGTAATGTATGATTTCTATTATTTTATACGTGTTGCCGCTATGCAGTCTTCTCAGCGTTATTCGTCAGTGGTAACGTTACGCTTATTTCCTCTAATATTATTTCTGTAGTTAACTTCAAATAGCTCCTTCCGCTCTTCCTTCTTTTGTCTCTGGTTTAGGGCTTTCTTAAGCTTTGTCCTCTTTACAGTAATTATTCACATTTTTCATATAATTTTCATCACCTTCATTTTCATTCTAAAAGCTCAATACGCTTTTTCATTCATTATTAAAATTTGTACATATTTATTTTATTTATGTAGTATAATTTATTTATTTAGCTGTTTAAAAAATTGTTTTAAGCTTTAAATGTAAAATTTAAACGTTCATTACAATACATATGTATTTATGTTTCATAGGTTAAAACATATTTTTTTTGTAAAATTATTAGGATCAAGGACTCGATTACGAAATCTAAACACGATCCCGAAGAATTGAAATACAGAAGAACTGTTCCTAAAAGGCTCTGGGAAGATGACCAGCCACAGAGGGGTAGTGTAGAAACCATAAAAACGATTATTGGTGTGGAGCAAGGTTCACCAAATGAACTGAAAACAAGCGTATTATGAAACCCAAACAGACTTCCCGAGTGAGATCAAAACAAAGATAATAATGAAACCAATTAGCCTCATTCAGTCTGAAGTTTTGAAAATCATTGCACTCGTAAAAGTGACAGGCAACATATGTTTGTTAGGCGATTCGGATAGCCGAAGAGGTACTGTCGATATATTCAATCCAGTGCACCGGTTTGGGGTTTTTAATCACACACAACGAATTGCAGCTTTTTGTAGTCTTATAGTTATAACATTTCTGCTGACTGTACTGTCGTGAGATAATGTAACCTGACGTGTTCCTCCGTATATTATGCTTTCAAGTAATCTAATGATTCTAATACGTGCTTCTTGCTTTAGCATTCTAACACACAAATGTTTTAATATTAATTTAATATAAATATTATTGTAATAACATACTTATTAATTAAATTTTATATAAATTACTTAAATTTTTGAGCAACGAGTAAACATTTCGCCAGACAAGAAAGCCCCTTTGCTTGGGCCTTCCAAGTATAATACATTTTTATAGCCTTTTTTATTTATCACTAACCGTATAATTATCTATGGACTGCGCAGTATTTTACACTACCAGAAGGCTTAACTTCTAGTGAAATTTAAATATATATTATATCAAATATCGCCAGAGGATGTACATAATCAGTAAAAAGTCGATTGCTGTAAAAAAGTTAGTGTGTAACTTATGTACGCACGTAAGAATTTACACTTCCATGGTAACAAAAGGAAAATAACTAAAAATATCATCGGCTGTACCAGTACAATGATGTTTAATAATATAAATGACGCATGCCCATACTTTACGGCGTTTAAAAATTGTTCATATTGACACATTATATAAGTAAACTAGCGGACCGGACCGACGTTGTCCGGTGTTTTACATTGTTATTATTATGTTATATTACTTACGTCGACTTAAGTTCGACATCTAAGGAATAAAAAATAAGAAAGAAATTGTAGTGGATCAAATTGTGAATCTACACCATTCTCGAATCGACTTGAAGACACACAAAAAATTTCATTAAAATCGGTCCACCCGTTTAGGAGGAGTTCAATACACACGTACAGTAGAATTATATATATAAAGATGTGACAGATGATATGGATGGTATGGTATGGAAAGAGATGGAAATCTATAGAATTGCGATCTTATTACACGAATTGATGTATTTTGAGTGCCTCAATTTCTCTTTGTTTGCCCTAATACCGTCTTTGCTTGAGGAGGCCTTTGCTCAACGGTGGGATATACATAGGCTGTTACTTAAAAATCAAGATTTTTACTATTTAAAAAGAATTAATTATGAGAAAATTCGTATCGTTAGGCAAAATTTCACACAGTTAAATCAAGATTACTGTGCAATATATGATACACAGCTAGATATTTAATTTCTATTCACCTGTTTGTCCCTTTTTCACCTTAAGCTTCTTTTCATTTTGCTCCTCGTTTTGTATCATGCGTGTTTTCAAATTTAATGTTTTGTATACTACAGATACGGCCATACATAATTCGGTGGAAATGCTTCACGCATACAAAACGCTGTAAATTGGAGTTGTTTGTTATTGCTTGTTTGTAGCTCTGAGGTATTTTGCCATTCTAATTTATATGATGGGCATCATCTTCTCGCTTGGTTTTGATTGTTCTTTGTTATTTTTTAATTTATTACTTTTTAATGCAAATACAAACGGCTATGCTATGTGCATATCGCGTTATATCGCGTGTGGCGCGCATGGTATTCATTATATATACAGACATAACCTTTTGCATAATATTATGGTTTATAAATAACATATTTTGAACTGTGTCCTTTAATGTTCATATTTCATATAATTTCATATAATTTCAGATACAGGCAGCTGAGAGGAGAACCAATGTCTCGCAACCAGACTGTGTCCACTCGCACGATGTCAAGCCGAGATGACGTCAGAATGAGCTCCGTGAAGTATTGAGCAGCTTCTAGAATTTTTGACAAGTTCTGTTTGTTTATACCTTAAACAAGGAACCGCAGGAACTCTCTGAAATCCGAACGGACATTGTTAAATTAATTATACGAACTGAAGTTAATGCAAGTCGTCCGTTTTAATACTATCTGTGAACGCTTTTATAAATATATGTTTATTTATATTTTTAAGCACACTGATATACCGTAATCAAATGTAAAACTGGTCAAAACGTCGATTTTATAAATAATTTTTAGTAAATATAGTTCACTAGTAATGTTTAAACGGAGTTAGGATGGAATATTTCTCATTAAAGTTATTATTTGTAATGTATTATGGAAAGTAGTCCCACACTCAAGTGATTCAACAGTTGTGTTAAAACACAGTTAATCAATGTCACGCTACAGTCTCGAACTATTCAGCACAAGGCATGTACGTACTCGTACAATTAGAATGGGGCAGTTGATCAGGTCAAACTCTTAATTTGTCACGAAAATGGCGATAGTTTTTAATGAACTGAGGCAATTACTTAATCAACCATAATTATTTACAGAAGACTGCTTCCTGCTAAATTAATAAGTTCGATAGTAAAATTTTATTCCACAACAGCGGAATTCCTGTTGTGGAGTTAAATTTTACTTTTTCCTTACCTAGTTGATAGTCGCGCACAATTGTATGGCGCAAAGGCCGCACAGATCGCACAAAATCTAAAGCACTTGAGTGATTTCGACTTCATATAAGCATAGGTAACTACCGTGATATAGAAAAAATATGTCTATATACCAAAAGTGTTTCGGTTTTTATGGTATCGGTAAGCGGTTAAGCGGTATGTTGCGAGTGAGGTGGCTTTTCCAGTTTCCTGCACCTTCCAAAACTGACAAAATGTATACTACGCAAAAGCGTAAACTGTAAAAATTGTATCTTATAGAGTTTTGCAAAGTTATCGCAATGCGCTTTACCAGATCTCGATTCTACGATATGTATTCATGTTTCTGTACCCAAGAGATATGATGAAATAACTATATCATTTATATGTTGAGTGTTTTTTTTTTGTTTTAAACAAGGCCAGATTGTAAAAAACCATATTACTTAATTAAACCTTAAAACCTAAACTATTTATTTATATCTTATTTGGAAACAACGAATCTAGATCGCACCTAATAAAAAAGTTATATAAAAATGATTGAATTCGATTTTATAAAAATTAATTAAAAGAAATATTAGATTTAAGTATTCCATTAAACATTTAAAAACATATTAGTTATTAAATTTATGAAGTTTTAATTTTTATCGGTTATTTAGGTATAAGCATTTTCCACAAATTTGAACTTTTAGGATAAAAATCTGAATACGATAAATTTTTCACTCAACTTATTGTACTAGGATCATTGTTTAGTTGTGCAAAACCTTTTAACGGTGTCCAAATGATCGCTTCTGGCCACGAAGTAATTTTTAAAGCTTTTTTCTAGTCGTTTATACTTATTTAGGTATAATGATCACAAATTACTTCTTATGAATATTCAAAGTATTTTATCAACTTTTAAGAATATTTTGCACTGCGATGCGATGAAAATTATTTTGTATCTTTATCATAATATTCTGAGACAAATCAATAGTTTTAAGAATTAGAAATTTACTCATTGATAGTAAGGTCGTCATTGTATGATACAGTTGCATTTAAAACTATAAATATTTAGACTATTAAAGATTATGATGATTTATGTGATAGGAAAGAAAAAAAATAAAGATTATTCTGTCTTAATTTTTTTGTTTTGGGTTGAGCCCTTCTTAACCTCCTTTTCATAAGATCTTTAACCCATACCTACGATCACTCAGTCAATCAAATAAAACGACTATTGACCGTAATGGAGTCATTGGATTTTTTCAATTTAATGTTTGCGATGGCAACATAAAGCAATGGATTTATGTCTAGTCCGTGGTCCGGTCACAACCTGTCGTCGCCAATTCGCCTGTAAAACTTCGTATATACGAATGCAGTGGAATGAGCCTTTTCTTGTCTTCCATAAATATATCGGCACCAAAAAGAAGACACGATTGTCACAATATCCCGAGTGGATGTTTTGAATAACTCCTCCCTCCACAACAGGTAATCAGATGCAAATGTAATGTTTGAAGAGTAATGCAAACCGATATGCATCTACAGGCATGTTGTTCGAAAAGGTCATAAAACTGTTTAAGTTCCTGTGATAGGACCACGCAACGGTGTTCGCTGTTGCACGAGTGGTCAGGTCCGTCCTAGCTAGTACCATAACCTCACATAAGACCGGCGTAATATAGAAGTGTTACACTTCTGCGTTTCGTCTGGTGATTGGCCCAGTTTATTAAAAGGTGGCATCTGTAACTCTACGGATGTTACAAAGGCGGTTATCACTTAACATCAGGTGAACTGCCAGCTCATTTGCCACTTTGTCATATTTAAGCAAACCAATACTAAAAGACTTCAAGAACTACTTCAAGATGCCAAGCTGATATTGCATAAATCAGACAAAATAAATTATTAAAAAGTTGACGATAGCGGGCATTGGCTACATTAAGTCGTAAATCGTAAACTCTGTAAATTTAATAAAATATTGCGAATTTAGATGAGAATTAAAAGCGAAAAACTCCGTTATTTTTATTTAATAATCAAAAAAATATTCGATCTGATCTTGACCTTTGCCACTCCGTCACAATGCTCTATTCACAAAATTTTCTAACTACAGAATCAGTTTTTGACAGCTGTATTGCTAAATATCTGTTCAATGCTGTCTATGACAAGGAAAGCCCATTGGTGCCGACGAGTAATTCCCATAGGCGTATATAGCAGAGGGCCGGGTAGGCCGTATCGTCTAGTGCCCACCTCAGGATTTTGGGTTACTGATTCGAAATTTTAGACTGGATACCAAGAAAGTTCATAAAAAACCATCGAAAACAATTACTTGTGAATACACAACGTAGTAACTACTAATTAGTTTATACTACTATTATAAATTGATAAAAATTATTAACGATAACGAACTGTTATTTTTTTAATGCGTCTCATAATGTTCGATTTTATT